GTCAGAAAACAGACTTTATGTGACTTGAATGTTTTTAGATTTATTAAGTTTGTTTTATAGCCCAGAATATGATCTGTCTTGGTAAATACATCATCTACACCAGAAAATAATGTATTTTCAGCCATTATTGGATGTCGTATTCTATCAAGTTCAATTAAGTCAGGTGTGTTATTAGTATTATTTAAGTCTCCATAGCCTTACTGATTTTCCTCTACTTGTCCTGTCAATATTGAGACAGGGAAGTTAAAAACTATACAAGGTAGTCATTTGTTTTTCCTCAAAATTCATCAGTTTTTGTTTCATGTACTTTGAAGCTCTGTTATTATATACAAAAATGTGTAAAATTGTTATATCCTTTATGTTTTTATTTTTAAAATAACTTTCTTACACACATTGTATAGTTGAGTCTTGTTTTTTAAAAAGAGACTGACAATTCCTGGTCTTTAATTGCAGTTTAGATCTTTGGTATTTAATGTAATTAATCATTAACTTAATGTAATTATTAATGTGAATTAAAATCTACCACCTTACTTTGTTTTTCTATTTGTCTCTTCTGTTCTTTTTTCTTCTAGTCCTCATTTGTTGCCTTTTGTAGAATTATGTGAATTTTAAAAATTTCTATGTATTTCCACTATTGTCTGTCTCTATTTTGTTTTTCTTTTGGGGGGTATTGCTCTACTGCTTACAGTATGCATTTTTAACTTACCATAGCTTACTTTCAAATAATATTTATACCACTGCATGTATAATGTAAGAATTCTTCCAGTACTATATTTCTATTTGTCTTCCCCATCTTTTATGGTATTATTTTGATATATTTTACTTCTGCCTATGCTATCAACCCCACAATACAATTATTTTTGTTTTAAAATACATTTTATAATGAGAAGGAAGTGTCTTTAATATTTACTCTCACATGACCATTCAGATTCTTTTCATTCCTTTTGTTAGCTGCAAATCTCCAAGTGACACCATATTTCTATTGCCTGAAGAATTTTCAATTTTTGTTTCTTTGAACATTTCTTATTGTGTAGGTTTTGCTGATGATGAGTTCTTTCAGCTTTTTTGTATGCAGTTGTCCCTTGTATCTTCAGGGGATGGCTCCAGGACCCCCATGAAGATACCCAAATCCACAGACGCTCAAGCCCTTTATTTCAACTTCATTTTGAGAAAGATTTTTGCCAATATAAAGTCTACATTGATAATATTTAAATTTTCAGACTGTACAGTTACTATCCATTGTGTTTTTTAAAAATTTGCAGTTTTATTAGGCGTATGCTATTACTCTGTATATAATGTATCTTTTTGTTTTCTGGATGCTTTTAAGGTTTTATCCTTATCACTGATTTTCAGTAATTTGATCATGCTGTGCTTTAGTGTCATTTTTGTTTTTTATTATGATTGGGGTTCACGTACAATCTTCGATTTGTAAGAATATAGTTTTCATTAAATTTGAGAAAATTTGGGTATCATTTTTAAACATTTTTCTCCCCACTCCTCTTTTTCATTTCCTGTGGAACTCTAATTACGCATGTGCTATACTGCTTTATATTTTTCTATAGGTAATCGAGATTTTGTTGATTTTTCTTTTCAGTCTTTTTCTTCTATGTGCTTCAATTTTGTATAGTTCTGTTGCTGTGTCTTCGGGTTCACTTATTTTTTCTATTGCAGTGTCTAATCTCCCATTAATTCTATCTAATGGAAGTTTTATATAAGATAGTGTAATTTTAACCTCTAGAATTACCATTCGCTTCTTTTTTAATGCCTTTTATTTCTCTCCCTGTTATATCATATTGATCACAGAACTCTTTCAACATTCTTATGTTAGTTCAATCATTTCTTTAATTTCTGGGTCTGTTTCTATAGACTGATTGCCCTACTGGTTCTTAGCCACATTTTTCTGCCCCTTTATGTGTTCAGTAATATTTTATTGGAGTCTGGCCATTGAAGATTTTTATATTTTTGTGTGCCATAAATATATGCATTCCTGTTAAGAGTTTCATACTTTGTTCTGCCCCTAATTTATGTTGCCCAGCTTACCTTTCAAAAGTTACTATTTAAGCTTTTTTAGAGCAAAGGTAGAGGTAGACTTCCCTCTCAGGCCACTCCGCACTACTAAGACATTATCCTTTTTGGGTGTTTACTTAACACTGAGTGTATTCAACTAATTGTCATTCCTCTGGCTTTGAGAATTGAAATGATTCCCCGATTTGTATGAACGCCTGGGATTTTTCAGATTTGGCTTCCCTGCTAATAGTTCTTTGCCTAAAAGTGCTTTGCCCAGACTTGTAGAGCTTTACCCTACCCATGAGTAGATTAGCATTCAAAGGCCCAAGGGGAACCCCTGTGCAGATTTCTAAAACTCTTCTCTGCATAGCACCCTCCTAATATATTGTCCTCTAAATTCTAGTCTCTTGGCTTCCTCAAACTTTGATTTTTGTCTCTTCAATACAATAAGACCTTTGGGTTCGAGTCCCACCTCCCATGCCACAGCCTAGAAGCTGATTCCAGGCAGAAAGCTGTTGCAGTCATTGGACTCACTGCATATGCTTTGTTTCTTCTTGAAATCATAGTCCAATGCTGCCTGTTCTCCCATGTTTGAAATCTTTCCATATATTTTGTCCAGTGTTCTATTTGCTTATTGTAAAAAGGTTAAATCTTGATCCTGTTACTCTTTCATGGCCAGTAAGGAAATTTGCCATTTTAGTCATAATAAATTTTATTTATTTACTGCACTTAACAAACATTTATGGAACACCTACCGTGAAGAGCCCAGAAAGACAGAAAAAGGATTCCTAGACTAATGCTTACATAAACAATTACAAAGTTACAATATTGTGGTAGCTATAGTATGACCCCAAAATTCTTTGACACTCTTTCCACCAAGAGATAAATTTTGTTTCCTCTTCCCTTGAGTGTAGATGCTGTGACTGCCTGTCCAACAGAATATGACTGAAAGGATGCTGTGCTCACTTCCTAGCTCAGGTCTTAAGAAACTGGCAGTTTCCTGACTCTTGCAATGCTCAATCATATGCCCATCCAACACGCTGAGAGGAACCAAGCAGATATACAGGAGCTCCCCCCTGTAGTTGTTCTGGTTGATAACCCCAATGACTCAGCCAACTGCTTAGGACCAACTGTCAGACATATAACTGAGCAAACTTTCAAATGATTTTAGTTCTGGCTATAGTCATTCCAGCCTCTGAGCTACTCCTGCCAACGCTGTGTGGTCCCTGCTAAGTTCTATTCAAATTTGTCTGTAAGCAAAATAAATGATTGTTGTTGCCCTAAGATGCTACATTTGAGAGGGTTTTTATGAAGTAATAGACAGCTGTAACACATATCTTACCATTAAGTGCTATATAATAGAGGTGGTCAGTTAACCAATGAATTAACAAATGTTTATTATGTCCCTATTACTGTTCAGGTACTAAGTCAGGAAAGGCTTTTAAGAAGTGAAATCTTGGCCGGGTGTAGTGGCTCACGCCTGTAATCCAAGCACTTTGGAAGCCAAGGCGGGCGAATCACCTGAGGTTGGGAGTTCAAGACCAGCCTGACCAACATGGTGAAACCCCGTCTTTTAAAAAAAAAAGAAACGAAATCTAAGTGGAAGTTTAGAGGAGGTCTAGGACCTAAACAGAATAAGAGCAGGAAAAGCAGAAAGAGTTGCTTGTTTGAAGATATAAAAAGCATGAGGGTGAGTGCCAGTAGTTCAGAAAACTAAAGTAGAGGGTATGAGAAAAAAAAACTGTGAAGAGATGAGTTACTGAGAGGCCAGTTCATTAAGGGGGTAATGCTAAAGAATGGGGGTTGAATCCTGAAGGTAAGACTACTCTTGTACACTTGTAATCATGCAATTAATTTAATTTTTTACTTAGTGATGATATATTCCCCATAAGCTGTATTCCAAAAAGGCGAAATCACACAGAGCTTTTATCCCTATAATTCCAGCATCTAAAATGTTACCTGACACACATGGGGGTTAATAAATATTTACTGAATGACCGTGTAACTGAAGAAAGCGTGTAAGAATTTTAAGGGAATGATATATAATCAGCTTTGTGTGTTAGAAAAATCATTCTGGCAGTAGTGCAGAGAATGGTTTAGAGATAATAGCTGTATGAACCAGCTTGGGCTGCCGTAACAAAATACCACAGAGTGAGTGACTGATACAACAGAAATTAATTTTCTCACCATTCTAAAGGTTGGAAGTCAGATCGGGGTACTAGCATGGGTGGGTTCTGATGATGGCTCTCTTACTGGACTGCAGATAGCTGCTTTCTCACCGTATCCTCACATGACAGAGAGAGGCAGAGACACCAAGCAATCCAGTGTCCTTCTTAAAAGGGCACTAGTCCTATTAGCAAGGCCCCAGACTCATGACTTCATCTAACTCTAATTAACTCCCAAAGATGCTGCCTCCAAATACCATCACATTTTGGGTAAGCGCTTCAACATTTGTATTTTTGAGGCTACAATTCAGTCCACAGGTGTAGGAAAGTAGAAAACACAGCAGGAGGTGAATGTAGTAACTTGCCTAAGAGATGAGGAGGGTTTGAACTAAAGTGGTGACAAGGCAGTGGAAGTGGAAAGACTGAGAAATAGTAATAATTCCTACTTAGGTTGGAATTATTAAACTGTTAAATGCCTTCGTAGGATATTCCTTTTCCTGACCTTAAAATTATAGACTTTTTCCTGTAGTAACTCTATTTGCATGTATTATTATTATTTTTTTTTTTGAGATGGGAGTCTCACTCTGTTGCCCAGACTGGAATGAAGTGGCCTCATCTCGGCTCACTGCAAATTCTGCCCTCTAAGTTCAAGCGATTCTCCTGCCTCAGCCTCCCTAGTAGCTGGGATTACGGGGGCTGTCACCATGCCCTGCTAAGTTTTGTATTTTTAGTAGAGATGGGGTTTCGCCATGTTGGTCAGGAGGGTCTCGAACTCCTGACCTTGGCCTCCCAAAGTGCTAGGATTACAGGTGTGAGCCACAATGCCCAGCCAGTATTTTTGTTTTTAAGGTAGAAGAATTTTCAAAATCAAACTAAGAATAAAGGGATATAACATTCAAAAAGTAACCACAGAATTTATTAAACATACAATATTACAGAAACACTTTAATGTGACATTGATATGTAGTCTTCAAAACGTTTTAAAAACTATGGTAATACTAAAAGTGAAACTCTATGAATTATAAGGAAAGTTAACCACAAAACACAAAGCATTTCACTTTTTATGTTTGGCTTTTATGTTACATATAATATTTAAAATTTTATATTTTAAAATTGTTTATTTATACAGCACATTAATCATTGAGATCCCCCCTCCCCCACAGCTAAGGTCATTCTAGGTCAGAATAAATGGATAATGCTTTCAATACTAGTATGTATTATTCCTATTGCACACATGTTGATAATCAAGGCTTGAACAGTTTGTGCCCTAGCTTATTGCTGGCAACAGAGTACGTCTGGAGTACAAAGCACATCCAAATGCATTTTCATCAATATCTGGCTCTGATACAGCCAGTCTGAGCCACTAATATCTAGCTCTGGCACTTACAGTAATGGCCCAAGACACTGCTTAGGAACTTAAAGTAAACAACTTGTCACCTAATTCTCTCAGCCCAGCAATCAAAGCACATTTTTGAGAGGGAATGCTCTGACTTCCCTATCAGTCGTGATATTTTGGAATAATTCTATACTTCTCATAATGAAACACAAGCACACTTTTGGTATTGGCCCCTCAAAATATTAAGAAACTGATGGTACCAACATATCATTTTTACATTGTTGTAACATTTTTTTCTGCTTTTGAGTAAAATACATGCTTATCATTAAAATATTTTGAATATATAAAATGCACGAAGAACAAAAACATTGTCCAAAATCTTGCCACTCAGAGATAATCATGTCATAGTATTCTCACGTATTTCCTTTCAAACTTTTAAAATTGTGGGCATTTGTAATTTCACAAGGTTTGTAACTTCCGTCTGAAAACTTATGTATTCAGGTGTCTGTGTAAATATCAATCTATATTATGCACCTTAAATAGCTGTATAGTTTTCACGTCTTGTGTACTATGATTTAATTGACCAATATTAATTATAATGATCAGTTACACTTATTTAGTGCTTACTCTATGCTAGGCAGTGTAACAAGCGTTTTGCTTGTACTAATTCATTTGATATTCGCAACCCTATTATTCCTGTTTCTTAACAGATGAGGAAACTGTGACACCAAGAGGTGAAGCAATTTGTCCAACCACTTAATGTTGGACATTTTAGTGGTTAGTAACGTTTTGATCCTATAGACAATGTTGCCATACATACATTTGTTCATGTTTTAAAAGAATGTCCTTAGGATTAATTTACCAAAATGGAATTGCTGGGTCCTAAGGTTTTAAAAATCTGTTAAATGCTTTCAAATATTTCCCTTAGGAAGATTGTACAGTATTAATTTACACTTCATCTAACAGTATGTGAGTGTCCAATTCCCCAGATCCCTGATTCTTTGTAATTTTTACCTCAATGACAAAACACATTATTTAACTGCTACTTTAATTTGCATATTTCACCTTTAGAAGCGGGACTTCATTTTTAATGACTTTTGTAAGCACTCTTTGTATACTATTTATTAATCCTGTGTTGACATGTCAATATTTATTCCCATGCTACATTTGGAGGTGCCGTAAGTTGGGGATAATTTCCATAATTTCAATTTACGTGCAAGATGAGCTTACTACGTTTGTTCCAAGTGGGACCCAAAATCTCTAGTAGATGCTCCTAAAAACTTCTCCATGACACAGAGAATAATTTTTATTGGTTAACAAAACTTACAAGTAAAATAATTAAATCAGAATTCTGGGTTGCTAGGAGTCTTTCTTTTTTTTTTTTTTTTGCTCAGTCTAGGGAGGTTATCTTGGGCTGTGAAAGACATGCCACTAATCATCACAGCTGCTTAGTGACTGCACGGTTAGTCAGTAGGTGCCAACGCCCTACTTGCTGAGCTGTTTGCAGATTCCGAAGCCGGGCGTTCAGGGACTCCCGGGAAGGAACCAGCGTTACCTCAGCCTCCCAGAGGGAGCCGCGCGCCCTGACACTCCCATCTCTGGGGATACAGGCCAATCCGTTCAGCACCAATGACTTCATCCGAGCAAGTTTCTTGTCACCTCACACAGCGAATTAAACTGTTTACCTAGAATATGATCCAAAGGAATTTCCATTTCCTTCCAGAGGTACTACAAGGTTATGACAACCGAGAGAACGAGAGGAAAAAAGGGGCACTCCTCGACCCAAACTCAAGCTGCTCGCTGTCTGCTGGGTCTCCCAGTCACTCCTGTGGTCGTTAGTAGGCTTCAGCACGCCTGAAGGACCCCGTCTTCCGGAGACTACTAGCCAAGGGAAAAGCGAAAAACACAAGAACTAATTCCACTCTTCTGTGCGACTAATCAAAAGAGAATTCAGGCAGAGGGGGACTCCTTGTTTATTCTTTATCGATGAGGCGGGCTCCGGGCAGCTTTGGAACAGGCGGCGCCGAGGTCGCCCAGATTCCCGACAAGCTCCGCGCGGAGGTGTCCTCGGCTCCTTCGCTGTTGCATCCGCATCCGCCGCCGCCGCCGCTCCCGCCGCGCTTGCTGGGGGTGGGTGAGAGGACTAGCTGTCGCGGACCCTGTAGAGTCAGTCTCTGTTGCTCTTTTCGCCTGAGGAGTCTTCCTTCCTCGGTCGAGCCCTGACTCCGGTGCTGTCGAGGGGGAGTCCCCACGGACACCTCGGCACGCAGTGGAGATGCCTCTCTTTGCCACCAATCCCTTCGATCAGGATGTTGGTAAGTGTTTCGCCGCTCCCTGCCCGTTCCCCACCGGACTGCACGCTCACTCTGCCAGCCCTTGCCTGCATTCAGGACCCTCGGGCCAGGGCCGAGGAAGAGCTCTTCCCCTTTCCTGAGCTTCCCTCCTTCAGAGCTGGGAGGAGGTTGAGGGCTTGGCGCATCCTCTTTGAAAGAAATGGGACTCATCCTGTGAATGGGCCTTGAGCTAGGATTGTAGGTTTCCAAAGAACTACTGAAGGGGTTGGTGTAAAGGGCCTGGAGGAGCAGCTGGTGTAGCATCTGGTGCAGGGACTGTGCTTCTGGAAGAACAGCGAAGGGCTGTAGCATATGTCGGCTAGATTAGGATTATAAACCCTGAACCAAAAGTGCTTGCCTTGACAAATGGTAAACGTCTGGAACTTGCAGAATGTTTTAGGTAAGGTTTCTTAGAGGATTTAAAAATCTCTTTGGTAACGGTACCTGAAGGAGGGAGCTCTGGTTAAGGGTAGACTGTGGAAAATGTTGAGAGCCATGAAGATGAAATACTTGACAACAGCTGAAACCAAATTGAGGACCTGAGCTTTTGGGATGTCTCTCTTAGGCTAGATTTCTGCACTTGAAGAAGTATAAAGAAGTGTGGAAGAAGTTGTTGCATCTGGAAAGGCGTTTGAAATGCTACATTTTTGTTGTTTTCTGAATCACTGGTATTAGGTACTGATCATGTCAATTCAGTAGGTTTGCTTTTTGTTTATTTTTTTTCTGACTTGAAGATAATTATGGACATTTGAGTTTCCAGGGAGAGAATTATGGTGTAATTTGAACGCACGTAGGAACTACCTTGGCACACAAGTGTGGAATAAAAGCAAGCCAAATCCCATCTCCAAATCCTTTATGGCAGAATTTAATGATTACTGTAGATAAAGACAACCTTATGAAGTTACTTCGTACGTCTTTGTGTATTTTAGTTATGAAAGATGGATGTTGAATGTTGCTTTTATAACTCTTCCTTCGAGCTTATATAGGACTAGAAAAGGTCAGTCATTACCTCTGCCACTTCTCAGCTCACAGTGAAATCATAGGCAAGTTAAATTCTTTGAGTTCTTGTCTTTAAAGAGGGGAAAACACATCATTCCGTTCTGCGGTTAAATGATATAATAGGTGTAGAGGGCCTGCTACAGTGCCTTTCCGTGGTAGGCACTTACTAGATGCTACCTTTTTTGTTCCGGCTTAAATGAATGTTCTGAATCTTAGCAGGGGACAGAACCTTAGAGATCACCGATAATAATGAATTGGAAAACGGCATTTAATTTAATAAGCAGTGGCCGGGAGTGGTGGCTCACGCCTGTAATCCAAGCACTTTGGAGCCTGACCAACATGGTGAAACCCCGTCTTTAAAAAAAAAAAAAAAAATTTAATAAGCAGTTAGCACACACTACAGAACACAGCACTCAGTGACATAAGAGATAGAGTGATGAACAACCTAGTTGCTGCTCTCAAGCAGTTTTACATCTTACTACATGAATCTCTAGGGCAAATACTTAAAACAACTTCATAAAGCATGCTTCTTCTGCCAGGTGTGGTGGCTCACGCCTGTAATCCCAGCTCTTTGGGAGGAAGAGGCGGAAGGATCATGAGGTCATGAGTTGGAGATCAGCCTGGACAATATGGTGAAACCCCGTCTGTACTAAAAATACAAAAAGTAAAGCCGGGCGCCGTGGCTCAAGCCTGTAATCCCAGCACTTTGGGAGGCCGAGGCGGGTGGATCACGAGGTCAAGAGATCGAGACCATCCTGGTCAACATGGTGAAACCCCGTCTCTACTAAAAATACAAAAAATAAGCTGGGCATGGTGGCGCGTGCCTGTAATCCCAGCGACTCAGGAGGCTGGGGCAGGAGAATTGCCTGAACCCGGGAGACGGAGTTGCGGTGAGCCGAGATCGCGCCATTGCACTCCAGCCTGGGTAACAAGAGCGAAACTCCGTCTCAAAAAAAAAAAAAAAAAAAAAAAAATACAAAAAGTAGCCAGGCATGGTGGCACATGCCTGTAGTCCCAGCTACTCAGGAGGTTGAGGAAGGTGAATCGCTTGAACCTGGGGAGCGGAGTTTGCAGTGAGCTGAGATCGCGTCGGTGCACTCCAGCCTGGGCAACAGAGCAAGACTCTGTCTCAAAAAAAAACCACAAAAAACAAAAAACTTGCTGTTTCTATTTACAGTACCTTTGTCTAGTTTTCATGGTCCTGTATAATTTAGTTAGCTACTACCCAATCGCCTTTATATTCTCTGACTTTGTGAACACTTATTTGCATTGGATTCAGGTAAATTTCTTAATGTCAAACCCGTTTCTAGTACCTGTACACCCAGTTCAAACATAGACACCTTCTTGCCTTTATGCTTTTGCCTTTTGCTTATGCTTTCTTTTATCTTTCAACATATCCTTATGTGTTAAGGCCAACTTAGAATCCAACTCGTTATACCTGAATCATTTCCTGATTACTGTAGCCAAAGGGTTTCTCAGTAGCAATGTTATTGACAGTTTGGACCAGATAAATATCTTTGTCACAGGGGTTTGTCCTGTGCGATATAGACTTTTCAGCCTTATCCCTGGCATTTGTCCACTAGATGCCACTGGCAGCCAGCACCCACTCATGATCTTAAAAGTCTCAGGACATTGCTGAATGTCTTCGGAGGGACAAAATACCTCCCAGTTGAGAACCATTGCACTAGTCCACACTAATTTCCACCCTTTTACAAAATCCTCTAATTTATTTTAACATTTTTGTTTTTACCAAATTATTTAGCATTAAAGATAGTTTATATACTGTATTTTCCTCCTTAGTGAGTGGATGCTGCATACGAGGTGTTTCGTAAATGTTGAGTTGAGAATGTGTCAGTTGAGCCTGCCCTCTGAGAGTACACTTCTTCAATGTGGCGGGATTGTTTTGTTCCAGAAAAGCTTACTTTTTTTTTTTTCTTTTAATGAGACAGAGTTTCCGTTGTCTCCCAGGCTGAAGTGCAGTGGCACAATCTTGGCCCACTGCAACCTCCGCCTCCCGGTTTGAAGTGATTCTCCTGCCTCAGCCTCCCTAGTGCCTGGGATTACAGGTACCTGCCACCATGCCCAGCTAATTTTTCTTTTTTTCATAGAGACGGGCTTACCATGTTGGCCAGGCTGGTCTTGAACTCCTGACCTCAGGTGATCCATTTGCCTCAACCTCCCAAAGTTTGGGGATTACAGGCGTGAGCCACTGTGCCCAGCCGAAGAGCTTACTTTTTAAAGTTACTCAGGTTTTGGTATTGGACCAGTAGTTCTCTTCTCACAATCCATGTATTGAAATATTATGAAAAGTTTATCTAAGAAGACCCCTCAGAGACTCCCAGTGATAGTCCTTGCACAGAGTCCAGTAAACTTCTATATTATTTTTTAATAGTATACCATATAGAATACAGTGTGTAGAATACACTTAATTTTTTTTCACCAAGTCCACCAATGAGAATGTCATGACATTAAATAACTCATTTGATACAATTATTTATCACTTAACACTTGTATACATTTGCACGTCTTCAAAATTATCTTCAGTCTTAATCTGAAGCTGAATCAGAAATTCACCGACTGATTTATATAATATAAAATTTTTGTAAAGAGACAAAATGCTGGTGATAGTGTTTCCCTTGAAGAAACACTGAAGGATGTTACTGGAATGTGAGCTCTATGAGGACAGGGATTTTTGTTGGATTTGTTCACTCCTGTATCCCTAGCCTGCAGACCAGTGCTTGGGATGCTGAAGAACATTCAGTAAACATTTATGGAATAAATGAATCTCACTTTGTACACTATAATTCAAAAGTTGAATTTAGAACAAATGTATAGATAACTTATTCCATCAAGTTTTTATTTGAAAGTCTCTAGTGATTTCTACCTTGCCAAATCCAGTGATCACTTTCTAATCCATTTCTTTGTTGATCTCTTAATCATTCCTCTTTTATATACAGTATTTATTCATGGGATCTCAGTACACCAACTTTTTCTCATTTTCTGCTTAGCTCCTTTTTAGTTTTTTTTTTCCTTTTCCTTTTTGCAACTTCTAAATGTTGAGTGCCCTGGGACTCAGTTCTGGAGCCTCTTCTCCTTCCACTTTTTTATTCCTTGAAGTATTAGGAAGCAATTTAGCTTAGTGTTAAGAATTCAGACTCTGGGGCCCCACTGCTTGGATTCAATCCCAGATTTGCTGCTTACCAGCAGTGTGATTTTGGGCTAGTTGCTTAGATACTCTGTGTTTTCTTACCTTTAACATGGAATATAAGTGTAGTAATAGTTCTTACCACAGAGAGTTTTTAAGAGGGTTAATATTTGTAAAGCACTTAGAAAAATTTCTGTACTTTTTATTAAAATTTTAAATAGAACCTCATCTAATTTCTTAGCTTTAGATATCCTCCGTATTCTGGTGAATCCTGGATTTACGTTCTTACTCTCAGCCTCTTGCCTGAGCTCTTGACCTAGATATCCATCTACTTACTGAGAGTCTCCATTTGGATTCTGCTTAGACTCTAACATTCAGTTCTTTGTTCTTTCCCCAGACCTGCTCATTCCTTCATCCTTGCCCTTCTCAGTAGACAACATGATTAATATTTCCTGTCACTGAGCTCCAGTGTCTAGGAGTATTATTGATTCTTAT